TTAAAATTTTTTCCAATCCCAAACTAATTTTAGTCCAGTCCTCAATCAAATTCCAATTCAATCTTCAATTCAGCCTTCAATTCAACCTTCAATCAATCTTCAATCACCCCTTAATTATATCCAATCATTCACAATCATCCATTTGATTGTAACTTATGTGGATAATTCAAATTCAATTAATTAAACACATAGCCCAGTTCAAATCTAGAATTCAGATTTTGAGTGATCTTTCAATCACTTTAAAACCCAATCAAATGACGTCTGACTCATGATCTGCCAATTTTATATTGATTAGGCATGTCCCTAGAGTCAACCTCCAAATTTGATCTTAAAATTTTTTAGCTATTTATTAATAAATAAAGTTCTTTTAAAATATTCAAAACAACATTTCATTGTTTATTAGATGTTTTCATTATTTTTAAATAAGAATCACCCCAACTGTCATGCACGATCTATAATTAATGGCCACCATTGTCGTTGTGCACCATGAACACATTATGCAATATGCAATAAAAAAAAAAAGAAAGTGATCCCAATCAACAACTTATTGTTCTCCTCCCTAGGCTATTCCATGTATTTTGTCATCTTTTTTAACATAGAGAATGTATTGGAAGAGGAGTTCAGAGCATTGTAGGTCTCAACATCTTCTTATATAAGTATTGTAGGTCTCATCATCAAATGGCTATAGCAAGTATATTTGAGACCTACAAAGCATTGTAGGTCTCACCCTCATCTTATAGAATTAAGGAAAGTTTGGTGGAGTTCAGAGCCTAGTTGGAGTTGAATTAGAGGTAATTGAGGTGTATGATCAGTTGAACTAGCTTGAACTAGCTCAACTAGATCAAGCTGATCAATCACTAGTTCAGAGAGCCAATGATGGATGATTTAATTATCCAAGGTTATTGTGAATCACTTGAATATTAGCTGGGTTTTTGCAAATCAATTGATTGTTCATCAACTAAATTGAATGGTCTGTATGTTGATTGAAGATTAACTAGGAATGATTTGAAGTGTAATTGAATGTTGAATGTATTGTTGATTGATTGAAATGTAACTAAAGTGATGATTGTATGGACGATTGATTTATTGCAGGATGGTTGATTGATGATTGATTACATGTTGATTAATGACTGTAGATTTGAAGGTTGAATGATTGACAGCTGGATGACCATCAATGCTTGTAACATGGTGGGAGGATGCTTATCGATGGTGTTAGTGTTAGTGTTGCAATGGGGGAATCCCATTAGCTAAGTGCTCATTGATGTGATGTTGCATGATTTTGTTAATGGAGAAACCTTTTTAGTGACTTATGTAACACAACTGAGTGGTTTTATTTAAGACAATTTCTTGTTTGCATCTACCTCATACACATATTTGTTAGCATGGTGAGATTTTATAATTCATGTCATGGTGTCATAAGACACTAACTATACACACCTTTTTTGCATGGTGGTTAGACCTAGACTCCCTGTAGAATCCCTAATGCTGGGGAGATGGCAAGAGGTTGCTAAAATTTTGAATGAAGATAAACTTGAAAATACACTATAGGGAACCTAAGGCTTGCAAATTCTAAATAACCTAAGCAAAAATTATACAAGATAAATATTTAAAAATGAAATACAAGTAGTAGAAAAATAATAAAAATAAAAAAATAAAAAATCAAATAGGGAACAAAGACTTATAGAAAACTGAATTGAACTTGCAAGCTTAACAAAGAACAAATAAAACCACATGAAAACACTAAGAAATCTATATCTTAAGCTCAAATGAAATAAAAAGTTTTGGAACATGAGAAATAACCCTCTCATTTCCCTCATATTTATGAGGAGGGGAGAAGTACCATGGGGATTGCAACAATAATTAAATAATATTATTTTAATCCCTAAAGTATGACATGACTAAAATATCCTCATACTCATGTTTGCACCCATCCCATATTCATTCCAATTTCCCCTTCTTTACTACTAAATCCACAACCCCCTTTTGTGCAAGTGGACAAAAGGCGAATGAATAAAATTATAAATATATATAAAAAAATTACATAGAATTATCAATTGCACCAACTTTCCAAGATGACTTTCAAATTCTGATATGAAACATCCCAAAATTCATGTAAAAATGTGAAGGTGAATACAATAACCCTGGGGTACTTTCAAGTCATCTGCATCTATCCTGAGATAGTCCTCAAACTCTATTATGTTAAGAAGCATCTAAATACTTCGGGTGTATCAGATATCACACATAATCATCATGTAGGTGGCTGGAGATCATGCAAGTACATAATGAAAGTACACTAAAAAATTACATAAAACAATCACTTTCTTGAAAAATGGAAAATCCACGTATGCTCTGATGAACGTGACAAATTTGCGAGCATGACAAATATGCAAGAATGATATTTGAAAATGTTGTATAGACTAGAAAATTATAAATAAACTTCAAAAATTTTTATTATAAAAAAAGTGCAAATATTCTATATAAATACACTAAAATTATGCAAGTGCGTTGTGTGAATGCATTAAAAAGCTTGTCAACACATATAAAGTATGTAAATACGCACATGCAAGTGCACCAAAAAGAGTGTGGGTCTATCATACAATCTCATTTAAAATCAAGCACATCATTTTAAAAAAAATTAAAAACACTTCCATTTGCTTTGATCACTGCACCAAACTTCTACATCAAAGGTCCAAGAATACTGCTAGGGCTATAAATGTGAAATAAAATTTAAATTTTAAGTCTAGTCCACCACCTTGAAAAGGACTGGATTTGACAAAACTTCAATTCATAAATGAATATACAATTTCAAAATCCACTATGATAAATGATTTTAAGTTCATGTTAGGTCCTTAAAGCCTTACTAAAAAATTGACAAACAAATAGAGTTGAAAAATTTTGAATAGTGAAATTAATTTACCCAAATCCTTGATGATGGCTATATTGAAAGTAAATCTAAACTAGATATGACTCTACTTTTTCTTTTTTAAATATCCCTTAAATCTTATAAAATATAAGTAAATTTAAAGTGACTTTAATGTCACCCCAATGATGATTATGTTCAATGCGAATCTCAACAGGAGGCAAACTATATCATTTTAAATACTTCAAAATTCTTGATTCAATATAAATATTTTTAAAATGACCTAAAGGTCATCCCAATGATGCTCATATTGAAAGTGAATCTCAACTAGAGGGGACTCTACTATCTTAAACACTTCCATATTTCTATAAAATATAAATATATTTTTTAAAGTGACATCAAAGTCACTCTGATGATGGTCACGTTGACATCTAAGTTGAAGGGGACTACCAAATTTTTAAAAATACTACCAAATTCTAGATTTACCCATTCATGGCCTAAATTTTGATAAAGTTTAAAAAAATTAACATATGTCATAATTCAAATATTTAAAGTGAAAATTAACTAAAAAAACTTAAAATAAAAATCCATCCACCCACAACAATATTTTATTAAGAAGGATAAATTAGAGTAACTTCAACTTACAAAAAATAAACATCCAATAAAGACTATCATTAATATTTATTCTGAAAAATCCCTTACTGGTAAGGATGTGGCACATGCTCTCTAATAGCTGATTTTACCACTAAATGACACCACAGGTTAATAGTTACAAATGGTAATAGAGCAATATTTACATCAGCTGAAAGATTGGAACTAAGTGCCATACACGATAAAGTGCTACGTCATGGGAGTTACCTCTTAAATATTGTATGGGACAAAGTGCTGCTTGAAAGGAGTCACCACTTGAACCTATAGGGGGCATATCTAAAATCCTATTTTCTTGGTGGATGATTCTATGATAAGGATACTGGCGATGATATCAGTTACTTAATGACGGAGATTGTGAAAGTCCTTAAATAAAAAGAAGCTAAACTCTTAAATATCTTGACACCTTTTGGTGTAATAGTTAAAATTTCATTAAAAAACTTCATAGTTAAGCGTACTCCTTCCGGAGAATTTTGGGATGGATGATCTCCTGCAAAGTTACACCAACAAAATAAAATCATGAGGCTCATAGGCCAAAGTGAATAATCTCTCGACAGTTAATAATTTAGACTGCTAAAACTGCTGACTAAGATTTTTTGATCAGGTTGGGTCCAATACCTCATCGTATTAAGTAGATTAGAGATAGTGATAGATTGAGATAATAGAACCATGAGATATTAATTTGATTCATCATCACTCACTCACCTCTCACTTTAAGTGTATCGTGGTAAATTCCAGGAATCAAAATGCAAACCATAAAATTGCTGCTATTGTACGCTGAATATTTAATGCTTATATGATAACTAGCCTTAATTAAAAATTCTATCTCCTTACCAAAAGGGCTAATTAACCATAATGATTTGCGCCTATGAGAAATTAAATCTCATATTATAAAATTCCTGTAAAATGAGGATAAACTTTCTAGGTATTGTCTTATTTTAAATTTAAAGTGCATTTTAAATATTCACTCAATAACATCATTCGTTAAAACTCTTCTTACCAAAAAAATGGAGATATTGGAGTTCAAAATTTTGAAGCTCATAATGTCAATTAGAGAATTTAAAGCATTTTTTTCTAAATTAAACTTTTTTTTTTTTATAAAAAGTGCTTATCATGACGATCTCTTTGTCGAATTTTTATAAAAAGTGTAAAATCCCGCCAAAAAACTCGGTATTTGCTTGGTACAACTAGGTATTATTTGATATTAACGATGAATACCGCTCTTTGAAGATAATTTGAGAGGTTGTAGGTGTTAAACTTTGGTTTTGTAGGCTTAAGAGTTGACCTAGAGATCCTGTAGTCCCTTTGTTTGCATTCGTGGGTCCGACTTCCCTAATACGCGTTCATTGCACGTGAAAAAATTCAAAAAAACAGCCGGCCGAAAATCTTACAGAATTCGCCGGCCGGTCTCTTCTATCAGGTCGGCCGACGGGTTCACCGTTTCAAACGGTTCACCTGAACCGGAGTAGTTAGATTAATGTTCTCAAAATTTCAGAACATCCTTTCTGCTACATGAGTTTCGGGACTCGAACTCCAACGTAGGAGCTCCTCCCTCCTCGCACTGGGCGTGGCTGACGTCCGTCTCCCAGGCGAAGGGGAGCGTGCCCCGGCACCGCTGATCTCCGGCCATCACAGACGCGTCATCGATCGGCGAGATCGGCTCCGGACGTTTTGCCTCCGGTTATCCGCTACGTCGGTCAAGGTAGAGCATTGCCCTCTCCGTCGAATTCATCCATCTCGCAGCCGTCTCCACTTTCTTTTATTGCCTCTCTTCCACATATTCCGATAACTCGTTGTCTTCTTGAATTTTTGTGTTGGATTTTTTTTCTTTTTGATTCGTTGATTTTCTTGAATTTGCTTTTTAGAAGTTTTTATCGTGCGTTTTATTTTAATATGATAATTTTATCTGTTGCGCTTACGTGGAGGCTAGAACTGAGACAAAGAACTGAGATTTCGTGTTTTCTATCGTGATTGAGGTTGAAGCTGTACTTGAGCAGTTGATTTACGGCTTCATCGAGCTCTTATTAAATACTGAATTTGTTTAACATCTATTTTCATAAGATCGTTTATTTAGCCAATTTGTATCATATTGTTTCGAGTTATTGTCAAGTATCGGAATTGAAATCACTTTGTTGAAGATGCTATTCTTATTAGTTCTGTTTTGGCAGAAATCTGTGTCTTGGTTGGAGGTGAGTTGATTATCTGTATCCTGGATTTCTTTTGAGGAAAGTGCTTGGGTTCCTCTTGTGACTTAAAAAAATGGTGGTTTCTGATGATAGGGTTCTTCTCACAGGTATCATCATACCTCTTTTAACACAATCTTTTTTTTTTTTGGTTGATTTCAAAACATAGGAAGGGCATTCTATGCATGATGCTTGGTTGTTGCAGTTGTGGTTACATGATCAAGTGGTTGTAGTTCACTTGGCTGCATGAATTGTTGACTGCTTTTTCTGTTATAACCCAACCAGAGAATTTCATGTGCTATTTTGCTTTCTGATTTGGATATTGGCCCATAAGGAAAGCAGAAAAAATCAAACCATTCATGTGCATGCATTAATGAGTAGGCTATCTTGATCTCAGGAAGGTTTCATGCATAACTAATGTGACTTTTTATGCTTTTCTGTAGATTTTTTTTATATGCTCATGTGGCATGATACAATCAAGAATATAGTTTTTTTTATTGATAAGATGAAAATTAGAATATACTTCTGCATTTATCTCATCATAGAGTGGAATAGATGATGTTCATATTGATGTCCTTTTAAGTATTGTGATTGTGTGACCGGTTGAAATTTTAATTCGTTTGGATTTAATATCCAAGCTTATACCCCCTTAACCATGTCACTTTTGATGCTGTTCCTTCATGAACCGACACATTTAAAAGAGGTGTTTGCATTGACAAGCCTGGCAATGGTCATAACTTCCCTTCATGGATTAGATCTTTTAATTGCATGCCTAGGAAATAAAATATGTTACCTTATACAATGTAAGATCATTGTTGCATTTTCATCAACTATCAGTTTGTTTGGGAAAATAATAATTTGAAGAATTGGAGTCTTGAACTTGTGAACTAGAAGTGCATACTAAAGTGATTTAAAAAGGTGGAGCAGTTATAAGAATATATTCCATATAGAACTTGAATTGTTCACATGGCCTCTGTGAATGACATTTGATGCCACATGACCATCCATTTTAACCATTGATAATAAATGAATGACCAATCTTATAAAAATGCAAAAAAAATCTTAAAATAGTCCCTAGACTATTCATATGTTGCCAATTTAGTCTCAGAGTATCATGTTGCTCTACTTTAGTCTATGGACTATATAAAATTGATAAAAAATGGTTCCGCATGTTGTATCTGTGATATAAAATTTATCTCTATTTAGTCCCAAAGAGATCATTTTGAATCAATTTTGTATAGTCAAGAGACTAAATTGGAGCATGGTGCTACTCTAGAATCAAATTAGCCATATATGAATAGTCGGTGAACTATTTTGATGTTGAACCTAGATTCAAAATAAATGTTATATTTGGACTCGAACTTTAAGTCAATTCATTGATCATCTCACTTAAGTATCATATCAATTATATAATGTATACAAAAGAAGGGTTTATTTTGTGCGTGAAGCTTCTCCCCTATGGGTGGAGGATTTTGTTACACAAGCTTTTTATCTGATTTTGCAAAGACGCTGCTTTTATGATTCAAACATATGGACCTAGATGATAATAGCTCGTAGATGATACTAGAGGCAATTCAACCACTAGCATCACCATGAGTTAGAGCCTAGATTACCACTAATACCATCCAACATACTAAGTTAAAAATTTATTAGTATGATGTTTGGTTATTATATTTAATTGTTCTGTATTTTGTCTGCTAACCTGCAGTATGCCCCTATTTAGACAAGATTTCTATATTCATATAGAGGTTTTGGTATGGCTTTGGAAACCTAGAGACCTGTTTTGTAGGTTTCAAGGGATTTGGATTTTAAAGACATATTGTGTGTGATTTCTAGAATTTAGCAGTAAAATTAATTTGAGATGGGAACTTCCAATTTTGATGGGTGCAGTATTGTTAATTTAATTTCCTAGGTCATTTTTGTCATGTTATGTTCGTTAAAAATGCAGCTAAGGAGTGGAGTTGAATGTTGCAAGATTGTCTATCATTCTGAAGCTCAAACATTAATATGGCGCATTTTAAAGTTGGCAGCTTGATACCTGTGTAACCATCCTATGGAGATATTTGTGATCATTTAAGAGAAATGAATTGCCAAAGAACATGACAACTTGAAAGCTGATAGCAAGTAGCCCATTTTCGAACCTGCAAACCTTTTTATTTCGTAGCATAACCCTATGAAAATCAAACTATATTAACCATTTGAAGTCGAAGGCTTTGCAATATTAATAGAATTTTAAACAATTGAACTACAATCAATATGCCTAACTCCTCTATGACTAAGTAGTAGGTTGTTCATAACATTAACCGTATATAACTTGATAATTTACTGTGGAAAACATTGAGAATCCATTCGCATCATCTTCATTTATTTACTTGTCATGAAAATCACATTCTTGAATCCATATGAATTGGTAGATAGTAAGTAATCTTCTTAGAATGAACCCTAGCTTCTTTAAGCATTTTTCTATTTTTCTGGGTTTGATAGAATATAGCTCCGAGTTACCTAAAATGGTGGTAGATTAATATTAGATAAAATGATCAAATTATTTACTCGACTATTTTGTGGGGGACCATTTAACCACAGACTTTATAAAATGCCTAATTTGATCCCTTAACTATCTCTTTATCAGGGACCAAAATAGTCCCTTCGTCTATATCAATGTTATGAAGATAAGGTAAAAGTTATCTTTCACGCTTGAATTTAAGGTATTTGATCATTTTAGTTTTATTATTGATAAATTTTTATTTATTATTATAATCTTTTAAGAACTTATCCTAAACAAGAAGGCCCTCGCGCATGACCTCGCGTAATTAAGGTTAAGTAAAGAGGTGAGATGCGAGATGGGATAGGAATGACCATAGGAGATTTCACTATGCGAGGAGGTTTGCCTGCGAAGTCGTAAATGAAAATTTGAAGAGAAGTCACAACTTATTCATAGCTTACCCGCACATCCTCAAACGCAAAGTGAAGTGCAAACTACCAAGCAACTTACATGTGTAGCTCTCGGCTGATCAAAAAAGAGGAGTGGAAGCTATCAACCTTAGTATTCTTCATGTGATGACTGAAAAATGTCCAAACTCATGAATAAACTTACTCTCTAAACATTCATGAATAGATGTAACTCTTAATTTTGAGCATATGGTATTTCTCCTTCACTATCATAATTATCTTTCAAGCTTTTTTTTTTTCAAGAAGATTAGTGGCTATAGAACCTGTGTTTCATTATATTGTAGGGAGGTTTAAGGACAATTTTACGTGTAATGCCAATAGAGAATGAGTAAAAGTCAAAATGAGTCATTATAAATCAATCAGGATTTTTTGACAAACTATCCTTTTCTAAACCGAGACATAGATAGGAAGACATCCTATCTTTCTTAATTTCTGTAGAAAATCTTTCCAAAATGAAAGAAAACCCTATGTGATATAGAGCTCAACTTTCATAGCCGACATTGGAGAGGCAAGCATGTGCTGCATGAGTCAAGTCCATTTCAAATTTCTATTGAATCATGGAATATGTAATTTAGTTTTTGAGCTTCAAATTTCCTCCATTGGGCATGTTCATGGGCTTTTGCATTCGTAGTATGTTATGATCAACATCATGAAAGGCACATTTTGATTATAACTTTGGTAAAAATTCTCATATGATATGGTTGGAAATCCATGTCACTGTGTTTGGTTCCATGGAGATGCATGGTAAAATTCCTTCAGTGCAATGCAAGATTCACTGAAAACTCTTGCGTCTTAGGTCAACAAGCTTAAGTCTTTGTCTCGGAACAACAAGCTACATTTGAAACAACAACCTTATAATTGGTCCAACATAAACTGCAGGGGTAATTTAGAACTTTACAAGCAATGTCTATGAAAAATCTAGAAACTTGCTCGTATACAGATTTTTTTTAGTGTTATTATTATCATCTGCTCCAGCCTAAATTCATAGAAATAGGGGATCTTAAAATTCTATACATATTTTTGTCTATTTTATAGAATCGCTTTCTTTAGATGTGAAGACTTCTGTCCTTTCCCAATTCGCTTCTGAATGATGTTCAAATGTGAGGCTTGGTTTGTTTGATTCTTTCTTCATCTCTTTTTTTTTTTTCTTCTTTCATGTTTAGATTTGACAATGTTTATATATCTAATTATTAATTCTGTTTGTGATATAAATGTTGCTGCAGGCTTTGATATTATCTGAAATTTCATTTCTTCTAGGGGATCTAATATTGTTCACATAGAATTGATATTTACCTTTTTCTTCTATGATCATTTGACACATTTTGTGTTTTTTGTTTTCTTTCAGTTGAATCTTTGCATGTTTACTTCTGCATTTGTTTGCATTAGTGGGATTGCATGTTCGTTAGTATGGTCAATTGCGTTGCATATTTGTTTTATATTTTGCATTTCTCATGTCAAAACATTTCGTCTTCTTAGGAATGCTATACCTCATTTCTACGTCACCATGCACATGTAAAAGTACAATATCCTTTTTGCATTAAATGGATATCTCCTTTCCTTTTTATTTTCTTGGTTCAATTCTTTCTTTTTTTGGTTCTTATAAATATGAGAGGATAGGCTATGACACTATGACTGACCTATTGTAAAGATTTGTTTAACTAGAATATAGTGATTTAGGAGAAAGAATCAAGCCAAAAGAAAAAAAAATTAAAGAGGGGTGGAGGGGGTCTTGATTTTCTTGCCTAAAATTTGAATTTTGGTAAAGGTGTGAATTGACTAAAGAATTCATAAATAAAAATGTCTTGTTCATTCACTACTACAACAACAACATCATGCCTTTATCCCACTACGTGGGGTCGGCTACATGAATCATTTTTCTCTATTGTGTCATATTAAAAGTCAAATTCTCGTTTAAATCTAATAAAGAAAGATCATTTCTAATATTTTCTAACCAAGTTTTCTTAGGTCCGCCTCTACCTTTCTTAACATAAATCAAATCTAATACCTCTACTTTCCTAACCGGGTCATCAGAAGGCCGCCGTTTTATGTGACCAAACCATCTGAGGAGACTCTCTTTAATCTTATCTTCTACTGGAGCTACTCCAACCTTTTCCCATATATGCTCATTTCATATCCCATCTCTAATGGTAAAGCCACTCAT